ATCCCCATTCGTGGAATTCTCATATGGGTGGAATAAAGACGATCCTTAATCGCGAACTTACTTTCTTTTTGTACTTGCACCCCTTTGTTTCCGTGATAATTGATAAATGAACGAGGAAGTTGGTATTTTTTTCAGAGAAATTCCAATTCATGAGGTTCTGTATAGAAAAACGTGGCGTCTTATTTTTAATTCTACTGCGAAGTTAATTATTTTAATTCTTGGTAGAATAATACTTCGAAGGAGGGAGAGATTTTTAAGAAAAGGTATTTTTAAAGAAAAATAAATTTTGAAATTTTCGAAGGGAAGGGGAGATAAAATTCCACGGGATTCTATATTAGATATATAAAGAAAGTTAAATTCTTAAATCGCAAAGTTACTTTCCTTTAATATTTGTTGAGACTCGTTTCATAAAATAATAGATCGAACTCGAGGGAATTGGTATTTTTAAAGAAATAAATTTTCGAAATTTATGCAGCAACCGGACCTGGTAAAGTTAGGAATGGAGGTGTAGAGTTTGTTTCACGGGACGAGAAGTTTCACCAAGCCAACTGTTTACTTATGGAAGCTTCTCTCAAATATTTGTTTATCCTTACCAGGCCGAACTTAGTTCAGAGATCGATCTCCGAAGGCCAGATCGCAGGCAAAAACCGGACAATTTCGTCTATGCCCGTCTAATCCTCCACGTCGAATCTATTTATTTACAAGCTACGTTCAGCTTGGTATCGCATTCCTGTTCAAATCTTTCGCGTTATTTAAATATGCAACTTGAACGATTTTATCGTTTCCTTCCGTGGATTCGATTCTGATCGATCGAAATTTATGTCGATTTTCAATTATTCATTCTAAATTCGTAAAAATCCAAAATTCCATTATCACGATACTCTAATAAAATAAATTAAAAGAAAAGAAATTTTTCTTTTAATACGAAATTTTCATCGATATCCAATTAATATTAATTGAATTTAATTCTGGATCTATCACTCTGATCATCATAAATGCCTACACCTGTATGAACGAAAGCAATTATATACACATAACAACAAAAATGTGTTAATGCAATCTAAAAAATAAACTGTAATTAAATACCAAACCTGTCTCCCCTGTCTCAAATTTCTATTCTATTCACAAATGAACCTCTCTTACTGACTAATCCACCGCATAATCCATCCAATTTTAAATCTCAAAGACTCTATTCGACTCTAGCCTGCCTGATACCAGAAATTTCATCACCAATTGTACACCTTTCCATCATTTCATAAAAAAAATATTCTCCTCCCCTAATATCCTGTAGAACATCGAATCGAATTCTCGAAAATCGAAACTCGAACGCGTGGGAGAGGAAGAAAGAAAGAAAGAAAGAAAGAACGAAGAAGGAAACAAAATAGAGAGGAGGGAGGGGGAAGGAAAGTTCGTATTAAAAAATTAAATCTCGTCCGGGCAGGTGACGAGAACGAACGAGGGTGGAGGGAGGGAAGGATGTGTGTCCGAAACCGCATGCATATGTAGATGGGACGCATCTGCATTGCAGATTAAACCGGGGGAGAGGGGGAGGAGGAGGAGGAGAAGGAGGAGGCGCGAAAGAAAGCGGGCTCCGATTTCGGGGGGAATTGTCGAATTGGGAAACTATCCCTCCCCTAATTTGCAAAAATTCCTCCCATCCTCGATCCTTGGCTCGAATTTCTCACCCCCTTCAACGTAATGAGCGAAAAGTGAAACTCGATTGCGGTTCTTTTTCGTCTCCGCCCGCCAACTTGGCAACGAGTGAAAGAAAACGGCGTTTTCCCCTCCGTGAACGTGAACCGGAAGTGTGCAAGTTTCGAGGAAAGCGAATCCTCTCGCCGTTAAGCCGGGGTGGTGGTAATGGTCGGTCGGGGGAAAAAAACGTGTGTGAAAAGGGTTTATACGTAAAAAGCCGCTTTGAAACGACGGTAGTAAAGCGAGTTATGTAAAGTTACGAAAGTTGAGATGAAATTCTCCCTCTCTCTCTCTCTCTCTCTTTTTTCTTTTTTTTTTAACAATGCGTGGCACGGTTACAAAGAGAAATTCGTTTCTGGGACTGTTAATCGGACTCGAGGGCGCTACTTGACAGGCTTTAAACAGGGTTGAAACTAAATTGGAAAATGTACCACTTTTACGAAGGTAGAAAAAAGAAATTTTCTCGTGGAAAATTTTCTTCCTAATCAAGGAAACCTAGCATACCTAGATATCTATTCCACCAAAATGGTGGAAACTAAATCGTAAGGATCTTTTTATCTTTCAAGTAAAGATAGATAGAAATAGAATGAATGGAATAATTTCTAATGATATGCATTTTGAGACAATTTTATACGAGTAGGGAGGGAAAGCTCGGTCCCAATCTCGAAAATATCCTCTGCCTGTCCCAGGACAGGCAACAACTGCTGAGCAACAATCGCTATCAATCACCCCCGCGAAACGGCCGGAAGTTGCCCGACCGTGATCCTACCAGCCTCCACTTTATTCGGCCAGCTGCCTCTGTCTCTCGCGGAACACAGGATAGTGGTAATGAACCGAGGGTAACCGCTGGCCATCGGCCAACCCAAACTTCTGCTCTCTCTCTCTCTCTCTCTCTCTCTCTCTTCTCCTTTCTCTCTCTCTCTTCGCGTAAAGATTCCTGATCCCGTTTCTCAGGCAGAAGGAATTACAGGTTCAACTTTGCCAGCCAAAATCTCCGTGTCGACCATTCGACTCTCATTCGAGCAAAACGATCCTCCCTCTGTGAATCTTTCGTGGACGAAGCTTGTATTATTTCGAACCGTGATGATGAAAAATCGATGAAAACCTTTCTTTGGAAGGTTTAACTTAATTTCGAGCGATCTTTCCTTTTTTCTCTTGATCCAAACGTCGATCGAATTCCGTCGAGGTTGAGCTTGGAAATAATAAGGGGGGGGGGGGGGCCCGTTTAACATTTCCAAGAGCAATTTGTCGAATGGAAAACGCACTGCTGCGGCTGGGATCTTTTTGTGTCAAGACAAGCTCTTCAACTTTAACGAGAACAATTGCGGGTAACAATTGCGATCGAGGGTAACCGGGAGGAGCAGGCTCAAAGGAGGAAAATTTATTCGGGGAGAGGGCTTAATGGGTGCTCGATCAAATTGACCGGTTTAGCGAGTCGCGGAACGAAAGCGCCCCGAGGATAATCGGTGACTTCCATTCGACGATTAAAGCTTCCTCCTTCGGCTCTGGAAAGTAAGGAGGCAATCGTTTTCATTAGCATTCCCGCCTCTCTTTGACGTTCGTGCTAATAAAATATGTCGGCGATCCGATTGAAAGTAGATCAGATGGTTGTGATTTCCTTTTTTTTTTTTTTTTTTGTTTCTTTCATTATTGGGATTCGTGCAGAACGGGACATCGATGACGAAGATGAATCAGAGAATCGACAGATAGATGTCAAATATTCGATCATTTGGAAATTTGTCCCGTATGATTTTTAGAAATCTGCCGACACGACGCGTTCCATTTGTATATCTATCCTTATCCTACTCGTTGTAAATTATAACGTATTTGTTCTTATACTGGTCTTTACATCCCTCTCAATTGAAAAATAAATAAAGCGAGTGGCTTTATAATATCCGATACTCGTTCGATGTGAAAATAAAAAGACAATGCGACGACTTATTTCTGTTTCGGATGAGTTTAAATCGGGGGAATTCGGACGCTTCAGATCGAGAAATGAGGCTCCGGGATTTCCGCGAAATGTCGAGTTTCGTTTTGGAAATTCGTTTAACATCCCCATTCGAAAAATTCGAGAAATTGAAAATAAATGGTCGAAACGACGGCAGTAATCGGCCACCACGACTCGAAATTGCCGTCACCTGCTCCATTTTCTCCATCCAGCCTCGTTCTAATCGATTGGTCGCATTCCTGACCACCGGGTGACACCCGGTAAGATAACCGCACGGAATGACGATATAGCCCAATTCGATCACGTTATGTAACGTCGAATTAAATCTTGTCATTATGCGATACATGGAAAGCTGTGTACGACTCCACGCGCGTTAATTCTGGATCTGACGTTGGAACAGGATTTTAAAATAGACAGATATTCTATTTATATTAGAAGACGAAGGAGGAGAAGAAGAAGAAGAAGAAGAAGCGATGTTAAAAAAATGAGGGAATTAATCATGTACACTCCTCTCCAAGAGCATGCTTGAATCCACCAGGTGGTTGGTTCCTCTCCGCGTTTCGCATGCGAAATATCTCTCCTTTGGATATTAAAAATCCAAAAAATTTCTTCGTATCGTGTATGTGTTACGAACAGGAATACATTGGCCAATATTAAAATTCTGATTTCAATATATTCAAAGTGAGTCGAGTTTAAAGTGATTTATCGCGATTCAAACGCGATGAAACGGGGAAAAGGAAATCTGTCGAAAGTGTTTCGCAAGGCTATGGCCTTGAGATCGGCCAACTAGAGATCCAAAGGCAACATCGATACCAGAAATAAAGCCCGTGGCACGGTTATTCGTGGACAGTGGGGAAAGAAAAAAACATTTCGCGAAACTAACTTAAAACGAATACTTCCATATTCAATCCTCGTTTTCTCCCCTTCGAGATCGAATGAGGAGGGGGGGGAAAAAAAAGAAAGAAGAAAAAAAATACGAAGGAAATCCATATGGAAAAGGATGGAGAACCTTCCGTCATTTCCATGGAACGTAAATTAATGTTAATCGGATTCGCCACTCGGATTCGTTCCACTCGTCGGCGATCCGTTGAATTACAACTGGATCGGGCCGGAATTAAGGTCGAATTAAATTTCGAAACGTAACGCGCTCGTTTACGATAACACGCGTTTACCGATAACAGATTAACAACGCGAAGATAGATGGCCCGTGATTCGAATCCACCATCATTTTCCATCCGCGCCTGATACTGCTGATTGGATGGCGGTGCTTCGATAAGGAATGAAAAAGAAAAAAAAAATAAAAAAAAATAAAAAAAAACAAAAAAAAAAGAGAAAGGAGAAAAATTTTCACGCTCACCCTCTGCGCCTTTCGCTTATCGGCCCGCTGATTCTGGTGATATATTCGGCTGAAATTACTGACGATAACAGGCACCGGTAAAGCGATCACAAGGACACCGCTGAGAGAGCATACACCCCCCACGATTTTTCCCGCGATCGTTTTCGGAACCATGTCACCGTACCTGAAACAAAAGAATCGGAATTCGTTAGTTGGAAAAATATTTATATATCATTTGACAATATATCAAAATAATATATTCTCTCGTTCGACCATCTTTTTCGTTTCCACGACGTGGTAAATAAATCGACATCATTTACAATACAATAGGGGAATACAGGGGAAGATGGGATAAAAACGTAAGATTCGATCAATCTTCGGTCGGAAACAATTTTTCAAGTAACAGTCAGAGTCAGAGTGAGAGAGAAGAGGAACGAGCACGGTCTGGCTATATACGGGCCACTTCCCCTTACGCGTTAACCTTATATCCCCGCGTGTCAATCATACTTTATCGATGCGACTTGCAACGAAAAATGAAGCGAGAGTTACTCGAATCGACAAACGGGGATTAAATATAAATATAATAATATCCTTGAGAAGAATCTCGTCGCACAGCTTCGAAACAATTGGTGACGATGGATTCGAACAGAGTCGAGAAGAAAAAGAATTGTTTCTTTGCCGATTCTCTCGACGATCGTTGTGAGGAAGGTTCGAATTCGAAAAATTCCAATAATTTTTCTCGTAGATTTTTATAAAAAAGAAAGGGAAGAGGGTAAAGGGTAAAATGGAAAGAAGAGGGAAGGTTCGGTTTGAGAGCGTATTACTTTCAGTTTCTTCGGTGAATCGCATTAAAATAGGATGGAAAGAGAAGTGGGAGGAAATGAGGTAGAACGACAGGAAGAGTTTTCACGATATCGCGTAAAGATTACGAGCCACTCCTCCTTATCGGGCAAACGTACAACGATAAAACTTTTTCTTCGAGGTTATACGTGCCCTCGAAAACCGTGGTTACCCATTCCCTCCTCTCGAGTTTGTGCATTTACGAATTCATTTCACTGTATCAACTATACGAGTTTCTCTTTTCTTTTTTTTTTATCAATTCTTTTCTCTCTCTTTCTCTTTTTTTTTTATGATTCTTCTCCTCTTCACCTATATCAATTTTTTGCGTCTCGAATCGTCGTTTAATAACGAGAATCGTCAATATGAGGGGTCTTTTAATTAAAATTTAATCTGATGGTTGTGCAGGATCAATTGTAATTTATAACTTTAATTCGCAATATAAATCATATATATATATATATATATTTTTTAAGACTTCCTGCATTTTCAATTCAAAATACTTTTAATTAAACAAATGTTGGATGAATGGATGGGTGGGAAAATTATATTTTTAATAATTCCATACAAAATATTGTATCGTTATACATCTGAATATATGAAAAATCAACCCAGCTTAAACAATTACATCAATTGCTCGTCTTGCGTGGATTTTGTACAGAGAATTGACAATATAGATAGAATTCTCAATAGCGAGAAATTGCAGAAAAGTATATGCGGTATAGTATATAAAATCGATACAGGAGGCGTGCATTGCGCGTAAATTAGCCGTGCTTAATGTCCTGCCTTCGCAAGCAATGCCGCAAGCTTGCGCCGCAAACGTCTACTTTAAACCACAGGGCGTCTTACTATGACGTCTTTTATTACACCGCGAAAGTGAAAACTCGAGAACGTTGGCTTTGATGCGCCATCAAATCGAACAAATTCGAGATTAAACAATTTCGAAATCGCTCTGACTTTCAACTCAATCTCTCCTCCTCTTTTTTTCTTTTTTTTTTTTTTGTCTCCCCAATAAACGCGTTAAACGCGTATGAAAATAGAAATATTAAACCGTTCAAAATGCAAACGAGAAATTTATACGTGACCATCGAAACGGGGGGACACAAATTTTGATCAAAATCGAATTGAAAAAAAAAAAAGGAATAGACTCGAAAACTGGAGGATATCCGATAAAACGCGGTTATAATGGATTAAAGCGACGAAAAATGATTCGAAATTTAATTTGTTAAATTTAATTCTAATTAATTTATTAAAGAGAAGATTGTTGTCGGTCGAGTGAAAAAATTTCACGAGGGGCGGAGATGTTCGAGGATCGAAGAATAATCGACGAAGCAAGTAGTTCGAAAGGGTGAAGGAATATAAAAATAACGAAACAATAAAATCGTGAATTGCATCGGGCACAATTTTCCATGAGAAGATACGATCCCGCCGTCAGGTGTTCTCCCAGGGAAAAACCTTGCTTGTCCATATTTCTTCCAACAGACGTGTGTCCCGCGAGAAACTTAGGAGGAAAACTTCGCGAAAAGTTTCTCCGCCGTTGTGCTCGATCGACAACGTGTTCGAATGTTCCGAGTCGAGGCGCTTTGTCCACTCGTGAAAATTTTCAAAAGCGTTGAAACGATTAGGAGAAAAAAAAAAAAAAAAAAAAAAAAAAAAAAACGATACGCTGCCTGATCTCGTGACTTTTATGAAGATCGGCAAATTGGGAAATGGGCCGGGGAAATTGGAAACGTCACGTTCAATGCGCGTGACCGATTGCTCGAATCGAACTAACATTTACAAAGTAACAAATAAATAAAAGGGCCGGACACGGAATTCGATTGTCCAAGTTCGTCCAAGAATTTATCGGTCGGTGACAGATGCAATCGACGTTCTCGAGAGAAAGGTCAGAGGAAAGGGAAAGCGTTAAAGGGAAGATCGTATCGCGATGCATCGTTTTCTTTTTTTTTTTTTATTTTTCGATTGTACTGTATTTCTCCCTTCCCTTTCCTTTTTCTCGATAAATTCGAAAATTTTAAAATCATCAAAAAGATTTTAAAATTTAATCAATTGTCACTTTGCCAAATGTTTCTCACTCTGCGAAAACAAATAAAAAAAATTTAATCAACCGGGTCGATAAGTTAATTCACTTTGTATGCTCACAACGGAAAGAAAGAGACATGGATCAACCAAAGCAAGGGAAAGGAAAGGTTTATCGATGCAGTCGAGGTTGGGGGTAGGGGCTATTCGTCAAGCGACAGGGACGCGTGAAACAAAGGCAGAAATCATTGAGAGGGCACGTACGATAAGCCGTGGATTCCCGTGGTCGTAACGTATTTGCCCTGGCACGCATTAGCGGTTTCCACGTAATTATGGCCGGTTTCAACGCCGCACACGTAGCCTGTTATATTATTAAAAAGAGAAACGTGTGCGCTAATTGGCAAGCGACGAAGGCACCGCTCGTTACCCACCGAGCTTTGCAAACCGACCGAGCAATTCATCCGAGTACGAGGGGGAAAGATGTTTAAACAGTCGGTGAAATGTTGGAGAGTTGTAAGATCCCGGCAAACACCACCCATCCCAATATTTTCATCGTCGGGTAAATTTTACGTACCAACAATCGAGTTGTAAATCCAAGTATTAACTATTTGGCAAAATAAACTAAGTATTCCAAATGTATACAAAGTGGATAAAAACAAACAAAACTGTCCAATCGTTTCTTTTTTTCATAAATAATAAGAAAAAAATTAATTTTTAAAATTCAATCCCTTCCATTTCCTCGACGTATCTTCCATCGAGAATTATCTTCTCTCTCGTTTTTCACTCAACAATTTCCGCAATTCCCTACGTTCTAACCATCGCCAGATCCCAATATTTCCTCACGCCGAGATAAATTAAAAAAGATTCGATCGACGTTCATCAACCATTCGAGCAACGATTCTCGCTAATGCGCGTTTCGAGGATAACCGCGGCGCTTTTAATTGGACAGAAGTGAAGGAAGGAAGGAAGGAAGGAAGGAAGGAAGGAAGGAAGGAAGGAAGGAAGGTGGATAGTTAAGGGGAGCTTAAAAGGGAAGGGTAGGAAAATGCAGGAGGCGGCCGCGATCCGGGTCGATCGCCGGTGTTCCAGCGATGTATGCCGAATTAGTTGACGGCACGCCGGCATCCAGTTCCCGCGGGATGGAACGAAACGGCGACGTGCACGACCCCTACCCCCTTCCTCCCTCCCCCGGAAACTGCGACATAATTCGATAAAGCGGACCCCCTCTGGTCTCGTCTCGACGATCGACGAGGATTGGCCCGCTGGCGATGTTTCTCGCTTATAAAATAGCAAAAGATAGGAAACCAGAGAGAGAGAGAGAGAGAGAGAGAAGAAGATCGCCGTGTTTTCTCACCTAACACCCCTCCCGCGAAACGATGGACGGATCGACTTCGGTTTTTCGTTTAACAATCGAATCACGCGCGGCGAAAGCTTTTCATCCTTGTCGCTTGTTTGCTTGTTTTTCTCTTATCTCTATATCCCTTGCCGGATCTTTTATTTTTAAATGGAAGTCTTCCATGGTGGAATGGAGAGCTTTTCGACGTATGATCGTGCTGTTGTAACCGGATCGATTCGTTGATATTTCGTGTTCGAGATTTAAAAGCGTGTTTATACGTGGATATATTTTGTTCCCTTTGTAGAGAGAATTATACATCCGTATCCATTTTATTCCTTCCTTCATTTTGGGAAGAATGTCGTTTATAAATTGTAAAATCAATATATATCTTGTTTCATAATTTTCTAGTCTATGCTTCGATTTATCCTGTGCGGAAATAATGTTTGATAATGTTTCAAACAAGAAAGGAAGAATATCTCGGAGGTGATATTGGAGGTGATGTAATTGGCTTATGTATAATTTGTGATATTATACGTCTTTAATATTTGCCATATGTAATGTCGTGCAATTGTATAATGTTAATAAAGATGCAACAAACAATTCCTTTCTCGATGTTGTTCGCAATGAATAAGAAAATAATCGTGCAAAATGATCGTGGTGATGGATGGTACGTAGTTTTCGATTGGATAATTAAATTCATTCCTGTGACTTTCATCACATCTTGTTCCATCGAAGACACAAATTCTTCTCGAATTCGAAAACAGAATTTGCAAATTTCTTTCCATGTTATTCCTTATTCGGGAATACTTTCGATTTAAATTGCCTTACTTTAAAGAGCACCAGGTTCGATTGATCCCTCACGATTAAACTTTCCCACTAATGCTCCTTCCTTGAGAAACAGTTGATCAACCTTTCGTTCGAATTCGAATCGTAGAACGGGGGTGTGAACAACTTTATGTGTTCAAAGATTCATTAATTAATAAGAATTCGAT